GACTCCAAATCGAGCCATATTTAGTCAGAATTCTGAAGAAGAGGTCCGACCGCAGCAGAGTTCAGAGTGAGACTTCTTGAACACACCACCAAGTACACAAACATTCGCGAAAATTCAAAGTTTACTGAGCAGTCTTCCTTCAAAAGCTTCAAGTTTCCCTGCGGAGCTGAACGCCATATTAACTCCTGTCCGGATGACAAAGAATCTCAGACACTATTTACTTGTGCTATAATACGACTCACACTGCAATGTGATGCTTGTTTCCCTCTTGGACAGACTAGCGTGAAACAGCATCAGGCGACATGGAGCATTAGACACCCCAACTATAGAATATTAAAAGTAGGATTGTTCATTCTACCCGGCAAAAAAAGTTGTATTAACCCATTTGAATTTATGTTCTGCCCCCTGTAGTTTTTTGTGAATGTTGTTACATACACATGGCTCCACATGTGCTCATCCGGCAAGTATTCTATCAGTAGCCCAAGTGACCGATCCTGATTTCCCCATTCCTTGAATTGGCGGGAAAATGTAATGCAGTTAACATCGATACTGTTATTATGTTATGATTATTAAATTGTTATTAAAATCTGGATACGATTAAAGACAATGAAATAATGCAAAAGACCTTTTCCAAAATTCGGGGAAAAGGGTAAACAGGTGAGATACGGCTAATAACCGACTCCTTGGTGACTAAGCACTTGTAGAGCCATCTATGTGTAATTACAATAAACTTGTATTACATTGGGTATGTATTCTTACGGGGCGATTGGGTTAAAAGGGAATTCATACACTATGCTTTCTTAATCTGTGCTTTATGATACACTTTAATGCTTGCGGAAATATAAAAGCAGATTTTTCAATGCATTTACATGCTTAGAAATGAAACAAAATTGGTACTTTTGCCTTATACGTTGATGCATCAGAAACATCATCTTTACTTTTCGAAATGACCTTTTTGATAAGCATTTGCAACCATAACATTCGCGGATGTGTTACGTATTTAAAAACATTATAATTTTGTTTCCCTGCGAAATCGCTCCATTTTCTATTAGTTCATTTCTGTGTTTGTATGGTGAACTTCGCTTATTGTCAATTATATTCATCATAATAACGGTATTATATACAGACACATTACTGGGAAAGTAATCTTTACAGCGGAAAATATGTAAAAATACAAAACGTTTTCTTCCGAGGAAAATACAATAGATAAACAGCGTAAAAGGATAACCTAGGTGTAAATTCATTAGCATTTCACATGTTCCAAGAATCTTACGCTCATGATATAAATTTCAGAAAAAATAGAATTGGTCCATCGACTTGCCCAATATAAAACTATTGTTATTGCGTTTATCGAAGAAGAATCTATGGACATCCTTTCAATTACCTCCTTATCCTTCCCCTCTCGCCTTCTTCCCTCGGCAATGGGTATTTTCTCTCAACTTTGCTTACTAATATATGGATATTCACTTGATAACTTATTTGGTGTAAAATTAAGTAAACTCTTAATTTCCAGCAAACCATACTTTTATCTACGAAGTGACAGGCAAAAGGAGTTTATATTTTTACTAGTCACCCCTTGAGTAGAGTCATTTTCTCTCATGGGAACTTCGAAGTCAGAAATACAGAAAATGGGATAAATAGACAATAAATAATTAATATAGTATGTATGGATGAAGTACTAATATATTGTCTTTTACAGGGGGATAGATGATTCTATTTGCCGCTACACACCACAGAAAAAACAACAACAAAAAAAACAGTTGCATTTATTACTATTTGCTTGCAGTTTCTGTTCGGGATCTCGCCTGGTAAAAGTGAATATCCAGAACCTGGGACGCTTAAGCTTCTCTTCAGTGAACTAGTCTGCCAGGGAGGCGGTGAAACATGGTTACCCATAACAAAAATATAATCTGAGTAATTACCTCAGAAGTAAGAAAAAGTGAAAAACGCCTTTCATCTGTACCGTGATGTTTAGTAAATACAATGTTTGGTTAGTAGCAAGTAGAGGATATACACTTGATGATGCTAATGATTCAGCTCCTCTCCAATGGAAGTTTTCTGCGGATATTTTGATAAATCTGAATTCCAGTTTAATTTAAACAAGTGCCTGATGATGATGGTTATGAATGTAATGACATTTATAATAACAATTATAATAATCTAGACGAAATAAACATAGTGTTAGAAAGGAAGAGAAAAGGGGAGAATATAGGAGGCAGAGGCGAGTCGAAAGTTAAGAAGACAGGGGGAGATGAAGAAGGTAAATAAAGAGAAGAAGAAAGAGGGAGGCGGAGATTAGAAAAAGAAGGGAGAGGAGGAACAGAAGGAAAAGAGTGGAGAAGGAGAGACACCGTAAAGAGGAGGAGAGGGGAGGGGGGTGGAGGTGAAGCAAAGAGGTGATAAAAAAGAGAAGAAGAGACATGGAGAACAGAAAGAGAAAAAGAGGAAATGGGACAGACGAGAAATTAATAAATGGCGAAGGGCAAACAAGAGAAGAAAA